ACTAGAGATGAAATTTAAAAAAAGTCCATTTTTAAGAACAAAGATTAATCATATTTATTAACTATACTTTACTACTACATATTAAAAAATGAAACTAGTAAAATATCAGTCTAATACTAATAATCACAATTGTTTCTTATGTTCTAGAAGCTAAGTTATAATTTTACAGTAACCAAACAAATGAAGAGCAGTTGAAACTGAAGCACTTAAAATGTCCATAAAGCAAACGATAAACTCCATAGCAAAGCATCCAACAAGAGATAAAAGCAATAATAAAGCCAGTAGAGTAAAGAGAAAACGAACCCCATTTTGGCAGATAGAAGAAGTTGCTCTTAGAAGCTCTGGGAGTGGGAGTTGCAGGTGAAGAGACGAGGCGGCTGATGGAAACCCTAACCCTAACTCGATTTGGTTCAGCTATATATACATTACCAGTTGTAGCTCTATTCTTCTTCCATTTTGGGGATTAGGGTTAGGGTTAGGGTTAGGGTTAGTTAGTTGACGGAATTAGTGTTGCATTTTACGTCAAATGACGAAATTGCCCGTATACTGCTCAATTCTTTTTTCTTTTTTTTTAATCTTTATGAATTTTGTATTTTTATTTTCTTTGTTTACTAAAAGATATTAAAAATATGAAAAAACGCTTTCAGCATATTTGTCTAAAACGAAAACGTACAATATTTTTGTTTAAAAACCTAATAAAAATGAAAAGTATAAAATTTATCATTTCACATTTAATAAAATACATTTAAATTACTATTTATTTATTCGTCTCAAAAATCTTATCTGTTAAAATTGTTTCATTTATGAAAAGAGAATAATAATATATTCACTGTTTATTCAATTTAATTTTTTAGAATAAAAATATATTAATTGTTTATTCAAATTTATTTTTTTATATAAAAAAGATGGGTTGAGTAACTTGAGTTCTTTATTTTATTTTACTTTTTTGGTATCTAGAAGTGTCCAGACTAGCTTGCATATATTTCAACTAATCTTTTAGGATCCTGAAGTTAACAGACAGGTAAGCTTTCAATGACTACTCCTTATTAATAGTCGTAGGGATTCAAACTTAATATCTTTTGAGTAATATACTTAAGAGTCTCAAATGAAACTTGAGTTCTTTCCCTCCACCCGTTTTTTTTCTCATTTCTCAAAACTAAACCCTTAAAAATTGGTGAACAACAATTCGATGAGGCCTGAATTTTTGTTGTAATTGCACTGAAATCTATTTTTAAATAAATAATATAAAGACCCGAGTGTATACATTGTTAATTTCTACAAATGTATTTTTTTTTTTTTTCAACAAATTCAACTTTTATTATAATTTTAATGTCAAAACTATTAAAACTTTATAAAAGATTACCAAAAAAACACAGTAAAATATTATCTGTAATTACAGAATTGAAGAAAGTGTATTGAAATTCATTGTGTGTGACATGTGCTACTGAAAAATATCCCCATAATATATAATTTTGTAGAGTTATATTCTAGCTCTATGTTTGCTTACTAAAAGATACCGATCACTAATAAAAGAGCAAAAGAAGGTTTTATGAATTTGTGAGTTTGACTCCCAGAATAGAGATGACCTTTGGGACTCTTTCCCGATCGACAATTCCAAAAATCCAGAAAATTAGTTAAGATACACGTAGGACCGGCTCAAGGGGTAGGCAAATAAAGCACCTGCCTAGGGCTCCCCCGAAAATAGGGTCAAAAAGGGCCCAATTTTTTTATAATTTTTTTTGAATATATTACAAAAATAAAAATACTATATAATTTCTTATGTAAGGGCCCAAAAAAAAGCCGTAACCCAAATTTATTATAAACTTTTTATGTATATTCCCACCTAAAGTTTGATAGAATAGTAAGTTTGTACCTCTAGTTTTACATATTCTAATTTACATCCCTAAATTAACACATTGGATTTCTTTTAACAATGAAAGGCTAAAATAGTCATTACATGTCTCAAATTACTCACCCCTAATTCAATCCCAAAATTCGACATTCACATAAATTCAGCTCCACCCCTCTTTCGTCGTCAGCCATTTGGAGTTGATTCTGGTCAATTTTCTCACCAAAATCGACCGGAATCATTACTTTATCATTTCCCAACCTTGATAGCCCTCAATTTGGCCAATTTTTTAGAAATCTCGCAACCCAACTTCACCGTGCATGACAACCATTTCTGACCTTTTTAGCATGTACCCAACATTGTTGGCCTTCCTTGACACCACTATCCTCCTCCCCTCAGCCCTCTCACCAAAACCCTTATCATACCTCATCCATTTACTCCGCCAATCGCCGATCACCAATACCTTTTGGGCAATGACTTCTCAAGCCTTTTCTAATCAATATTGGTATTGGAAATCACCCATTTCACTGCCCATCACTTCTCCAACATCTACTATCCAAAACCCCCACCAACCTGACCCTGTTAGCCCGTCAGTCGTCGCCCTCCTTTCCTAGTGATTTTGCATCTCAAAAGACAAAAAAAAAGAAATTTGAAATAATTTTTTTAATATATGTTTATATAATTAGAAGGTCTCCAAAAAGTTAGGATCACAAATGTTCTTGAAACGGGTTTAGATACACGTAACGTAGTAGGACAATAAACAATAACCATAAATTGTCCGTATATAATTATTAAAAAGTTGCATATTCTCATAAACACCAAAAATATTGGACCTGAAAAACATTTGAATAATTCATCCTCTTCTTTTGGTATTTTCATTTTCAAAAATACATTGATCACGTTACATATGGCCATTAGTTTAATAGTTTTTCTTCCACAGATGATATATATCTGGGTTTCCAGTTTGTTTCAGTTTACCGATGCTGAAGGATCTCCATTTCAGGTTCATGTTAACACACATACATCACATCTAAATGATCATATTATCATAAATTAAGAAAGACGAAGAACAGATTCTCCATTTATTTACACCAAAATAAACATACCCAACATCACACCTATTACACTTCACTAATTAAAACCCAAAACCATCTTCATTTACTATCCAACTAACACATAAATTGCATATATAATCCCAGGTATATATCCCAATATTGTCAGCAACAGATCTATCCAAAACTCCACCTGCAAAAACAAGAAAAATAAAACGATCAGATCATATCATATCACATCACAATGTGTTTTTCTTCTAAATTAAACCAATGAATATTCAAGAAGAACATGTACTCCACAGCCATAACGTAGGAAGACTCCAACAGGAGGAAGAAGGATGGCGAGTATGATTTCTAGGAATGTCTCTGAACCCATGAAGATGGTAATAGTTGGAACTTGAAACTGGTAAATTCAAATACAGATAGGGGTGGGCGATTTAAGCTTAAAGATGAGAATGCAAGAAGAGGACAGCAGTACAATAGATATGAACAGGTGTTAAATTCACGTAAATTTTATTTTGCCACGTGTTTTAGTGTTTGACACGTATGGGATTATGCCTATACTGTAGTGTTCTTCTTTGACTTGTTTCAATATTACTATTGGTGGTGGATGATCAGAACACTTGCTCATAATTGAACCTCATGAGCTGCACACACTTTTTATATATCATACAAGGATCAACGGTCCTGATCAAGTTTAAGGATTTTGATCTGCCCTGATCCTTCTGTTTAAAAAACATATGCTATTGCCATTTTGATCCATCTAAATACTATGTAATATGCTTAATAGGATTACTGAATTTTGTCATAAATGCTGATACTGCTTTGAGAAAGTTACAGAGACTGTACAAAGTGATGTATTTCTTAATTTTCTTTATGAAATTGGGCATGAGATATTTGCTGTATCTTGAGTTCAAGCAAATGATATATAATTGTGATTCTATTTGAAGGAAGATACTTATGGTTGCTGACCTCGGCTATATGGTTAGACCTTGGCATGATTACATCCCCCCGTTTGGCTAGGAAATAGAAAGGTAAGAGTCTAAAGGTCTACTTTGAGTAGGCTTTGTCTAAGGGTTATGGTGTATTGGGTTTGGAGGGAGCGAAATTGTAGGATCTTTGGGGGGAAAGCCATAGAATTTAACAATATTAAATCTTCCTATAAAAATAGGAAGTTGGCTAATACATAGGGACTTCCTAGAACCATCTTCAAAGACAATTTGCTCGTTGTTATTGTGAAGACTTTGCCGTAGACCGTAGTGTATCCTCAATCTCTTTGTTTTCTTTGCTTTGAGTCTATTTTGTGTCTCATTGTATGTGTTTTTTGGAGCCAAACCCAATGGTGGTGTTTTGTTGTTGATTTCTTAATTAAATTCTTTCTCTTAGCTCTTATCTCCCATATTGGTTTAGATAGGCTCCCAAGAGAATTGTTGCATTTGTTTGTTTTTTGCACCCTAGGGAGGTTGTGCTGTTGGCCCCCTCTTTTGTAGGCTTTTATAAATTTTTCTTCTTTAATACAATTTACTTAGCAAAAAGAAGATATATAATTGTGATGAATGTTGAGGACATTAGAATTTTAATAAGAAAAGTTATGTTCCATAACACATGAGGTGTCGTGGTGTAGTTGGTTATCACGTCAGTCTAACACACTGAAGGTCTCCGGTTCGAGTCCGGGCGACGCCAAATGGGTATTGTTTTTGTTTTGTGCTGCATTTTTAAAACCTACCTTAATCTTGAAATTAAGATTGGAACTTTAGGTGGTCTAGCAAAGAAACAAAAAACATTGGTTCAAGCAACAGCAATGAAGATGTTGATAGCAAAGAAACTAAACTGAAAAAAGGGTTATTTTATATTTTTATACACCCCTTTTAAAAAAAAAAACAATACAGACAGATAGCCCCCACGAACTTCAGAAACTACATGAACACCCTCTTCTGCGGACAGATAGCCCCCATGAACTTCAGAAACTACTAAAAAAGGGTACAAGGTGACCATGACAACAGACATCTGCATTTTCAATATCAGAAATAATACATTCTTCTTCAAGTTCAAGCAACTGTAGCATTTACAGCATCAGAAATAATATATTCTTCCTCAAGTTCAAGCAACTATGATTTTATTAGTGCGGCAAATATTACAGCCAGCAACTGGTTCAAGCAACAGCAGTAAACATTCTTTGGAATGGATCAACAAAATCACTGGTTCCGTTTGTTTGATAGCAAAGAAACTAAACCTAAAAACCAAATAAGAATTGGCTCCAATCAGATTTCCAATACTGTATTATGGGCTACGCAGGAAGCAAAATTGACCACAAAGTGAATATGTTAACACGCTTGACACCTACTGACCATCAAGGCTGATAAGGCTCAGGAAGACGAAGGCCCACACTAGCAGCAGATTTCCCGAGTACTCTTTTCATTTCATCTGATCTATCCACGGCAATGTTGTACGAGAACAGCAAGTCCTACAATCATCACAATATCAAGGTAAGATATGACAAATAACTAGTTCTTTACCACATAAGCTCTTTCATTACAACAATTAGCAATTGAGTAAACAGAAGAGAAATAGTGGTTAGTCAACAAAAACGACAAACCACACACTGATAAAACTATTTTACCCAATAGTGGAACTCACTATTATTTAAACCCATATATAATTATCTGACTGGGTATACAACTTGATTCTCCATTTATTTACACCAAAATAAACATACCCAACATCACACCTATTACACTTCACTAATTAAAACCCAAAACCATCTTCATTTACTATCCAACTAACACATAAATTGCATATATAATCCCAGGTATATATCCCAATATTGTCAGCAACAGATCTATCCAAAACTCCACCTGCAAAAACAAGAAAAATAAAACGATCAGATCATATCATATCACATCACAATGTGTTTTTCTTCTAAATTAAACCAATGAATATTCAAGAAGAACATGTACTCCACAGCCATAACGTAGGAAGACTCCAACAGGAGGAAGAAGGATGGCGAGTATGATTTCTAGGAATGTCTCTGAACCCATGAAGATGGTAATAGTTGGAACTTGAAACTGGTAAATTCAAATACAGATAGGGGTGGGCGATTTAAGCTTAAAGATGAGAATGCAAGAAGAGGACAGCAGTACAATAGATATGAACAGGTGTTAAATTCACGTAAATTTTATTTTGCCACGTGTTTTAGTGTTTGACACGTATGGGATTATGCCTATACTGTAGTGTTCTTCTTTGACTTGTTTCAATATTACTATTGGTGGTGGATGATCAGAACACTTGTTCATAATTGAACCTCATGAGCTGCACACACTTTTTATATATCAGACAAGGATCAACGGTCCTGATCAAGTTTGAGGATTTTGATCTGCCCTGATCCTTCTGTTTAAAAAACATATGCTATTGCCATTTTGATCCATCTAAATACTATGTAATATGCTTAATAGGATTACTGAATTTTGTCATAAATGCTGATACTGCTTTGAGAAAGTTACAGAGACTGTACAAAGTGATGTATTTCTTAATTTTCTTTATGAAATTGGGCATGAGATATTTGCTGTATCTTGAGTTCAAGCAAATGATATATAATTGTGATTCTATTTGGAATTAGATTCTTATGCTTGCTGACCTCTGACTATATGGTTAGACCTTGGCATGATTATATCCCCCATTTGGCTAGGAAATGGAAAGGTAAGAGTGTAAAGATTTACCTTGGGTACTCTTTGTCTAGAGGTTACGGTGTATTGGGTTTGGAGAGAGTGAAATTGTAGGATCTCTGGGCGAGAGTACAAGAATTCTCACACTATTATCGATACTATCAAAAGTGTGGTGAGAGACAAAGTCATGAATCTTAGCAATATTAAATCTTCCTATAAAAATAGGAAGTTAGCTGATACATGAGGACTTCCTAGAATCATCTTCAAAGACAGTTTGCTCGTTGTTATTGTGAAGATTTTGTCCTCTTTGTTTTCTTTGCTTTTGAATCTTCTTTGTGTTTCATTTATGTGTTTTTTGGAGCCAAACCCAAGGGATTGTCCTTAGGGTAGTGTTTTGTTGTTGATTTCTTAACTAGATTCTTTCTCTTGGGTTTTATCTCCCATGTTGGTTTAGCTAGGCTCCCAAGAGAATTGTGGCTTTTTTTTTTATTTTTTGCACCGTACGCGGGATGTCCTGATGTAGGTTGGGCTGTTGGCTGCCTTTTTTGTGGGCTTTCTTTTTTAATACAATTTACTTAGCAAAAATTGTGATGAATGTTAAGAATATTAGAAGTTTACCAAGAAAAGTTACATAACAAATAAGGTGTCGTGGTGTAGTTGGTTATCACGTCAGTCTAACACACTGAAGGTCTCCGGTTCGAGTCCGGGCGACGCCAAATGGGTATTATTTTTGTTTTGTGCTGCATTTTTAAAACCTACCTTAATCTTGAAATTAAGATTGGAACTTTAGGTGGTCTAGCAAAGAAACAAAAAACATTGGTTCAAGCAACAGCAATGAAGATGTTGATAGCAAAGAAACTAAACTGAAAAAAGGGTTATTTTATATTTTTATACACCCCTTTTAAAAAAAAAAACAATACAGACAGATAGCCCCCACGAACTTCAGAAACTACATGAACACCCTCTTCTGCGGACAGATAGCCCCCATGAACTTCAGAAACTACTAAAAAAGGGTACAAGGTGACCATGACAACAGACATCTGCATTTTCAATATCAGAAATAATACATTCTTCTTCAAGTTCAAGCAACTGTAGCATTTACAGCATCAGAAATAATATATTCTTCCTCAAGTTCAAGCAACTATGATTTTATTAGTGCGGCAAATATTACAGCCAGCAACTGGTTCAAGCAACAGCAGTAAACATTCTTTGGAATGGATCAACAAAATCACTGGTTCCGTTTGTTTGATAGCAAAGAAACTAAACCTAAAAACCAAATAAGAATTGGCTCCAATCAGATTTCCAATACTGTATTATGGGCTACGCAGGAAGCAAAATTGACCACAAAGTGAATATGTTAACACGCTTGACACCTACTGACCATCAAGGCTGATAAGGCTCAGGAAGACGAAGGCCCACACTAGCAGCAGATTTCCCGAGTACTCTTTTCATTTCATCTGATCTATCCACGGCAATGTTGTACGAGAACAGCAAGTCCTACAATCATCACAATATCAAGGTAAGATATGACAAATAACTAGTTCTTTACCACATAAGCTCTTTCATTACAACAATTAGCAATTGAGTAAACAGAAGAGAAATAGTGGTTAGTCAACAAAAACGACAAACCACACACTGATAAAACTATTTTACCCAATAGTGGAACTCACTATTATTTAAACCCATATATAATTATCTGACTGGGTATACAACAGGTAATTGGTCAATGCTAAATAGTATCAGTTGATCAAATACTATATGCAATTACCGGAAAAATAATTGATTCCATATAAAGTATGAGACAACCACAATCTGACTGGAGATTGTACCAAAAAAAAAAAAAAAAGAAAATAACAATAGCCTTCAGAATGGAAGAAAGGACAGTAAAAATTAGATCAATTGAAGAGAGTCGTGCCTTTTGATGGTGCACACTGTTAAGAAGAAAAGTATAATCATGGGCAAGTCTGATCTTTTGTTGTATAGATGAAGGATCAGACAAGTTGCTGTTCTTCCGGAACTCTTGTGTTATATATTCCCTGAAATGCTTCTTGTAGTCTTCCTTGCCAATATGTTTCCCAACAGCTTTGAGAAGGTGGCGATACACCTTAGCAGCTTGCAAAATCTCAGAACTCATTTCCAATCTTCACCTCTAAATATCAATTATGTTCTTTTCTTCTTCTTGTTCCTACATCAGAATCATATTTATAGCACAAACAGAAATCAGCTCTCACAAACTCAATTGACAAACATGAAACAAGAAGAACGGTATGTAAGAGAACGCCAACAAAATCCTAAATTGAACACTTTAAAGAAGTTTACTATTTTCAAAACAAAAGTGCTGTGTTTACATATAAAGAGTTCAAAAAAAAAAATGCAATAAGAACAGATGGGAACCAAATAAAAGATCTCCAATACTAAAAACATTGAACTACAGCGATTACTCTGGTCACAAAAAGCTTCTTCTATTTTATTTAATAACCCAAAATTCCTAAACCCGCTTAGCGAAAAGATTAGCAATACTAAAAGCATGAACTGGGGCTATTACTCTGGTGTCAAAAAGCTTCTTCTTCATTTACTTAATCACCCAAAAATCCCTGAGCCCACTTAGAAAATGAGACACCGAAATTGAGCCTGCTCAACCCTTCAATCTGTGGGAAACAAGATACTCAGTCACTTTTCTTCAGGCATGTGGCTCTGAGCAGCTCCATAACTAGTAAAGATTCCTTCTTTCAGCTCAAAATGGAAATTTTGTAAGAATGGTACCAAAATTTACCAACTTAATTCACTCAACGTTTCACTGCCAATATCCTAAGTATCGTACTTTCTTTCTCTTTCAGGCATTTCATCAAATATCAAAACTCCATCGAACACTTTGAAATTTGATAGAAATTCTGACTTGAAACGAATTCAAAACAAACAATTCTACTCCATGATTACTGTAAATAAACACAATACTAAGCTAAGCAAAACGCAAAAAAAAAAAAAAAAAAAAAAAAAAATTGGCTTTAAACCATTAATGCAGTATTCAAATAATACCCAATATAAATTATCTTGACAATGAAATCTAAGCCACAGCCAATAATTCAAAAAACCACCAAAATTGGACGAAGTAAATGCAAATATATGTTATTAAGAGGCGCACCTGGGGAGAATGTGAGTGATGCAAGGAGCCAAACTAACGAGAAGCAAGCAAGAACGAAAGTAAAGAATAGCAAGCTCATGTTTAATGTAATTACATTTTCACCATCTACTTTTCCAAATTTCTATCTAGTCCTTGATATAATGTAAGACATAGTTCAAGTTTGTAGAATGATGAATAAGTGTAAGTTTATTAAATTAATTTATCACTAAAATCAAATTAATTTAATGTCTGCTCTAAATTTATATTAAAATTTTGTATATAACAATCTATAAAAGAAGAATAATATTATATCAATATACCTCTCTCCTAAATTTTTTCTCATAATCCTGATATAATAGTTTATAATTGATCAATTTATAACAAATTTTACATGAATCTTATATAAATTCTACTAATTAATTATAAACTGACTAATTATGACCTATCATATTAAGTTTGAAAAAATTCGTGAAAAAGAGTTATCAACGTAGTATTACTTATAAAAGAATCGACGGGTAACTTTTTGTAGATGCTAAATTCTAAAAGAGGTGCATGATAGGAGTAAAAATATGGGTCAAACAGTAATTTTAAAACGACGAAAAATCAAAGCGACGAGATCGATTTCACTATTAAGAAGTGAAGAAAATATTTGGCAATTGGCATCCAAACAGATCTATATCTTTGCCACGACATGTCGCGCGAAAGACCGAGACGAGCCGTCCTGCCTCCGGTTCAAGAGGTGCGAGCTCTCAATTTGTTTCTCTTTCAATGATTCAAATTAATTGAATCACGACGCAATGCACTTTTAATTTCATAAGAATGATTTGATTTGTTATTTGGTGTTGAATGCAGAACATTGAGAAATTAGAGAAAGTTATAAATGATGGTAATTTTTATGGAGCTCAACAGATGTACAAGTCTATTAGCGCACGGTGAGTTCTGTTATGATTGTCATTATTTTTATCATCCTTATTTAATCATTGATTTAATTATGTTACTCTTGTTTTTTTCTCAGACTTGTGTTCATTATGGTTTATAAATTCTTGGAAATGAGTGGATTAGGGATTGTTTTATTGAAGTAAAAGTGCTTTCTGTAAAATCAAGTTCTTTTTCGGGAAGCATCTGAATTTTGTTTTGTTCCCTATCATGTTATTTGAATTTGTGTTCTTTTGATGATCTCTTCAAGTTTATATTTAACATGTTATTTCGAAAAGAAATTCTGCAAAATCAAGTTCTTTACCGAGAAGCACCTGAATTTTTTTTAATCATGTTTTTCTTTGAATTCGTATTCTTTTGGTGATCATTTCAAGTGTTTATATGACCTAAAACAAAAACTTTATAAAAAGCATTTATTAACTATTAGACTATTGATGATCTGAATGTGTTTTTGATTGTATCTCAAGTATTTCTTGATGCAACTTATGTACTCCAAATCAATTTGTGAGGATATTATTATTGAACCATTAAAACTTGTTAGATATTCCTTATTCTTTCTAAACCGATTTGACTATGATCTTTCTTGTGCACAAATCATGGCCAAACTCTGATTTGAATTATCATGTTATCTCTGGCAAATAGTTCTGAACATAAAATTCTTTTTTTTCTTTTGTTTCACCAGAGGTTATTATTTGTTATGGCTGTGGACAAGAGTCTTTGTCTTTTGGTTTGCTAAGACTTCTGCCTTGATACAGATATGTTGCTGTACAGAGATTTTCAGAGGCATTGGATATTCTACATTCTGGTGCATGCATCCAGTTGAAAAACAACCAGGTTTTCTCCTATTTATAGTCAGTGATTCCTTTTTCTTTTTCCTTTTTTTTTTTTTCTTTTGGGGGTCACGGCTTTTGTTTATGGTTTGCAAAATTTATTTGACCAAAAAGAGTACTATGTTGCTGCTGCACTTCCAGTAGTTTAGCTTTAGCCATGTTAACATTGTTGTTGAAACTGCGGGTTGAAGTTTGGCCTGTAAATGACTTGGATGAAGGCTGGATTTTTGCATTGTTTTAGCTTATATTTGGTTGGGTTTAGTTTGGTTTGTACCTAAAAGCTGCAGATTAGATATGAGTTTAATTGTTGGTGTAGATGATAGTAAGATAGTAACAAAATGGTAACTGTGGTATGCATGTTGTACTAATGTCAGTTTTGGATGATTTTGGCTTCTTTGAGTCCGTATTTTATAGATCTAACTTATTAATCTGGTTACCCAGTCATACCATCTGTTGCATTTCCAAATCCTAGCTAAACAAGCTTAAAATTTTCTTCTGATAGACATTTATATATAAATACATATATTGATAGATATTGCTTCCAGTGTTGATATTGAGCATTGGGTTAATATTGTAATGCAAATCGACCCAGCATGAGGTTTGGTATGTAGACCATGGCTCATCCTGTCTTAAGTTTCAATGTTGTACAAGTAAAAGAGTGGCCATCCATAGTCCTTTTGATGCTAATAGTACGAATGGATGACAACGCGTATACTACGATAGAACAGTGAATCTTTGTTATTAAATTGTAGAATTGAGCTCGTTTATTTAAAATTCAACCCTTTAACAAACCCCATCCCCCAAAGCAAACAAATGAAAAAACCTGTGTTGAACGACTATATTATAAATTTCTCATTTTGTCCCCTATCTTAATTTATTTAATTGATGTGCATGAAAAAATTTCAGGTTACTTGTGGGGCAGAGCTTGCTGTGTTGTTCGTCGAGACACTTGTTAAAGCGAAAATTCCTTATGATGATGAAACCCTTGGTCAGTTCATGCCTCGTGATAAACTTTAAAGTTTAAACTTATTTTCAGCTCCCTTTGTCAATTGTTAATGTTGTTATTCAGGATGTAATGAATATTAATGGCCCCCTTTTCAGTCCTTTTAACTTAATTTGAATAATTCGATGCATATAAAGTAACTTGGGAAAAATTGTGATTTAACATAAATGCATAATACTGCTATCGTGCTACATTTTTTTGGGGTGTTTGTCTTCACAATTATAACAAAATATGTATGTTAGATCGTATCAGAAAAATCTTTGAGCTGTTTCCTCGGATCCCTGTGCCACATAAGTTGGAAGATGACGATAGCATGCATGAACTTACTGAAGCCCTTGGGACAGCAAAAACAAGTGTAGAGGGCTGCTCATCATTCTTAAAGGCTGCTATTAAGTGAGATATTGTGCCCTTATTATGTTTTGGAACTATTGTGTGCATTTTTTTGCTGGTGTTGAGATGTGTTGTTCCTTTTTCTTTGCAATGTTTTGTAGTGAAACTATGCAATGTGTTTGTTAATTTTGTGGTTTATTGTGATTGTTTCTTTGTTTTTCAGGTGGTCGATGGAGTTTGGAGCTCCTAAAACTGGATCTCCAGAGATACATGTTATGCTAGCTGAATATATGTATTCGGAGTCGCCCGAGCTGGTAGGTTTTGATTAGAAGAGACTTAGGCTTCTGGTTTCCGGAGTAAATGATCTTCACAGTTTATTATTTACTGTTTAAGATTCAGTACCATGAACTTTTTCTCAATCCCCGATAATGGGGTGAAGTAATACGCAAAGAGTAATGCTAGCCTTACTCACTCCCCCTACTCACTTCTCTTACTCACCTTTGTTAAAATGTTAGCCTTATCCACTTTTTTCACTTTTTTAACAAAGGTGAGTAAGAGAAGTGAGTAGGGGGAGTGAGTAAGGCTAGCATTATTCATACACAAAAATTTTCATATTACTGACTGCATAAATATATACTCACATAATATGCAATCCAAGGAATGACCCATATTATGCCCAAGGTGGCATTGAGGCCTCTCATTAGAAGTGTAACCCCCTGTTCTGTGTCACTGTTTTTAGTGAAACGATTTGAACCTATTATATGATCATGTCTGAACAGGAATTTCCTTCATACTGCACCCTGATTCTGATTTTTGAACTATATAGGCCATTTAATAAGTACATTTAGGATATTCTGTTTATTAACTTATATTTAAATTAGTAATATGACATCCCTTTATCAGTATGAAAAATGTAATGTGAGACTTAGAGATCCATTTTATGTTATGCATACTGTTGGGTCTCATAGTTGATTGGCATAGTCGTATTGATGTACTGCTTCTTTGCAGGACATGACTAGAGTATCATATCATTTTGTCAGGGGAAACAATCCACCAAAGTTTGCATCAATTTTAGTCAATTTTATGGGCAAGGTAAGCTGTTTCAATAGTCTGCTCATTTATAATCCTAAACATGTTTTATTTTTATTATTCTGTTGTAAGGTGCAATAATGTCCACAAATTCAAGCCGTCGTTTTGTGCAACATTTGTATTATTATATGAGTGTGCCTGTGTGTATATTATGTAATTTATAGTTTCCATCTCATTTTAAGACATACTTTTATGGAAATTTTAAGTGTCTCCACAAGATTTATAATTGTATTTTTTTTTTTTTAAATTCCCAATGTTGGAGGAAATTGATGTCTAAAATTTGTAGACTTTAGATTTTTAAATTACTTATTAGTTTATGGGATTATCTGTGCTTTTGTCAACCAAAAAATTTTGAAATGCCGAGGTTAATGAATCTTTTTTCTCTAAGCACTCCAAGAAGGAGCACAATTCCCTTAAATTAAGGAATGGTATTTGTTCCTTTTTGGTTCCTTCTAGGTTAGTTGTCAAACAAGTTCAACTAATATGCGTGTCAACTAATGCAGTGTTATCCTGGTGAAGATGATCTGGCAATTGCACGAGCAATCCTAATGTAAGCTCATTGAAGAACTAGACAACTGCATCTTTCTTCCTTACAATGAAAAGTTTGTACTCAAATTTGAGAACACTTTGGCGACTACAAACATGCATCCAATGTTTGTGTGTCTATATACCTGTTATTGTAGTATAGTACAGCATTCAGCTTTACCCCGATTAAAACTTTTCTTTTCAATGTAGGTATCTGTCTATGGGTAATCTGAAAGATGCTAACTATCTTATGGATGAAGTAAAGAAGGAAGTAGAATCTAAGCAACTTGATTTGGGTGAATCAGACCTAATCCAATTTATCACTTATCTTTTACAAACGTAAGTTATGATTCATTTATTTCTCTTTATAGTTACTGTGTTGGTATATTTCATCAGCTTGGAAGGGATTCTGTTTTTCAATGTTCACTGATAATACATAGGCTGGTACCTGAGTCAAGTGTGTTAAGGGTGACCTTTTAATGCATTGGATCCACTTACCCAAAGAAATTGTAATCATATGATTGATGTGATATTGTTTTTATTCTTTAAATCTATGTCTTGCTTCTTCCTCCAGCTATCTGCAGAGCATCATTTACCTTCCTGAATTTATAATGGCGTTGATTTATTTGAAATATTTATTTATAATGCCGCAAATGTATTCACAGAATTCCTTTCATATCTTCAATTGACGTAAAAATTTGTGTAAAATAAAGGGTTTGCTAATCCTACCCCATTCTTTATATATTTCATTGTTATAGAATTTTATGTGCCCTTTTATTCATTGCAGGTTGCTGAGAGATGCTTTGCCACTTTTTAATATGTTGAGAGCCAATTACAAGTCATGTATAGACAGGGAACCTGGATTTAATGAGGTACATTATCATTGTTGCTAATTGCAATAGATCCTGGTTATTATCTTTCTTATAAATCCATGTTATCCTTTTTATTCTTGCCAAGCATAGAACGAAGGTTTGCACCTGTACAGTAATTTTCGTTGCTGGTATCTTCAATTAAATTTAAGCTATTATCAACTTTTTATCTTTGGCTTGAAGAGATTTTTTTAAGTATTTATGAGTTCTGACATGAAGATTATGGTTCAGTTGCTAGACGATATTGCAGAGAAGTTTTTTGGAGTAAGGCGTAGAAATCCCCTTCAAGGAATGTTCGGAGAGTTGTTCAAGGTAATTATTGTTGATTTTACTATTATATGGCGCTGCTCGACATTTACATTCAGTCTTGTATAGTCTGCACGATAGGGTTCAGAAATGCCTAGACGTGGACTGGACGGTTTGACATCAAACCCATTTTAATTATAAGAAAAAAAAACTATCATCTTTGTAGAAAAAAAATAAATCAATTCCTGGAAATGTTGTCCCAGAGCAGTTGCTCTTTGTTCATTTTAACAGGGTTTTACGAATCATTTTCTTCTTCAAATTATAAATTCTTAATATGGTTAAATAGGCAAGAAGGAAATGGTTGGCTGTCTTTCAAAAATGGAAAGAAATAAATACTTGAATAAGATTCTCACTTGAAATATTGGACTTTGTTTTGCAGATGATGTAGTGACAAAACAATAGGTTCAGTGTGTTGCTATCTTGACGAACCCAACATCGCTGCTTTTCGTTCTGCCTTTAAATGGGGTAGTTGATTTACTAAACATTTCTGAACTTTTACTTTTTCAAGGAAGTTTTTTGTTTTCGTTTATAACCATTTTTTTTCAGATGATTGAAAATTTCTTCCTGTAATGGAACTAAATTATATCCTTGATTGCTGTACAAAGTATATCATTTGGAATGTTCTATTCATAGAATCAATTTGATTTCATGCACTATTTCTTGGAATCTGTAATTGAGTAAACTCTAGTTTCTTGTATTGACAAAGTTATGATGCAGCGTGGGGGAAAGCTCAATTACTACAAAAAAGAAAATGAACACAATGCTGGGTTATTTTAAGGGTAATCTTGAAATAATTATCAGATCAACAAAAATGAAGAACCAAAAGTTCAGAATAGTTTATCAAGTGTTAATCGTGCTTTTTATACACAATTATTCATTAAAGATGGAAGAATAAACAGCAAAATGATTCTTGTATACATTAACAACAATGTAATATAACTGTATAATTGCTATTAAAGTTCCATCGTTTACAATTTCCAGTACAGACATCCTTCAGATTTATTGAAGTAGGCCTCTATTCTCCTTCATAATACATGAAATGTAAAACAGAAAGGGGAACAGTAATACATACTACTCATCAAACGAAAATACCACTCCATTCTCCTTGATGAAGTTGTGTGTTGTGTGATCCACAACCTGCACAGAAAGATGACCATAATAAGGCATCGTGATCTAAACATATGCACGATACACGCACATAGGCACACTCAAAAGGTGCCATTAAAGTGCATTGCATTGTGTGGATAGAGCGAAAATGGATGCACAATGAACATGTTGTCATGTTCATGGACCAATAAAACAATATTGAGAGCTTGGTGCAGAAGAGTGTCATTTTCCAGGTAAACCCATTCCTCCGTTTAGTAAGAAGTTATCATCCTATAAACTCCTCAAAGAACAATTTCCTAAAGGACTGGCAACTGTGTGTGCACTGAATGATGGTGCTAGTTGACGATTTCCAGATCTCTAAAGGGGTTAGGCATGAAAGCTTCCCTAAGAACATCAAAGTAAAATTCAATTTTGACTGGGATCAGATTCAAAAATTGGGACATATGAATCAGATTTATACAAATCTTTCAGGCCGAAAATCAGTCTGAAAATTTTGCTATATTTATATCATGCAGAATCAAAACAGTATGCCTTCTGATAGATTATCTCTGCTTCCCAGAAGGGAAGTTTATTTTTCAATCTAGGCAAAGAAACTAACTTGTCTAGGTGAAACGAATAGATACAACCATATCAATTCACAGTGGCTCTCCATATGCACCAAAAAACATTTATAAATAAGACCTCAGTAGAAAGAAAGTGTGAAAAGCTCACATTGGTATTGCTGAGTTCTAAATTGTAGAAGTCCATGTTGTCTGCTTAAACAAAGGCCCCGCATGCCAGGTTCCACGGTTAATTAAGAAACTTAGGCCCTACAATTCTGAAAACGCGCACATCTTCAACAGAAGGAGGAACATAGAAATGACCACAGTGAGAATGCACAATGCCTGTCCCACCTTAGTTTCCTTTGAATCAACAATGGAGGGCTTCGCGACTCCAAGATACCAAACATGACCCCCAATTGATCAAGGCACTGAGTCACACTTGCATGGTGGTAATGTTGAAAACTTCAATGGTCGGTCCTCCAGATGCATAATGTAGAACCTGTTGAAAGCATGATTATACCATCAAAATCTATGAAAATTCTCAATACTCTCTCGCGGATATGAGTTTCTTCTCCATTTAAAGCACAGAGTCAAATAAAGATGAGACTAATTAGACCAAAAGCCAGAAAGCTTTAACTGATTTGAATTTGCGCAAATATATGGCTTAAAGTTCAGAACTTTGAATTACTATGAACTTGTAAAGCTACAATTTCCTCCTAATACAAACGACTAAACCAAAACAAAAAGAAAGCTTATAAATCAACGAGACAGAGCCAAATTATATGCAAATACTCATTATATTCTCTAAAGACAAAAGGGTAATTGACAAATCAACCAAATTGTTCCTCTCTCATCCAATCCCTTGTTTGCAAAGTTGATTAAAAGTTAAAACAACAAACATATTCATTGAATGCGGAATCAGTACAAGCAAAGAAAGAAAATATAATCGTGAAAGGAAAATATGAAAAAATTTAACACCTCGGCGTGCCACCGCGAGGTCTAGTTGGATCTTGAGGACCAAACTCTTCACCATCAGGTGAAGCCTCAATCACCTGTCCAAATTCCGCAAAGCTTTTTTGTGCTTCTATTGGCTTCAGTTTCACCACTCTTTTTGCTTCTTTATTTTCCCAGAATCCTCCATTTTCTCGGGAAATATAAGTCAAACAGAATCCAGTTCCAAACATAGCTTCCACAAACCCACTGATAGAATAACCGTACATTAAACGATGTCGTTTTAGCTTACCACAAATCACTGATAGAATAACCTTTACATTGCTTTAATAATATAACCAACATAGCAAAATTGGTCTCTTTTCTTTCGAAAAGATAACCACATTCATATTTCCGGACTTCTGCTAGGGAGGTCCGTGTAATTAAATAAAATATAAAGGAAATCATAATAATTTATCTTATAGGGGTACTTTAAAATTACACTAAAGATCAGGGAAGGTCATTGAAATTATTCCTTAAATTTTAAACTACCCTCGTCAAAACTATCGTTTTGCCCTCCATCTTCTCTCTCCCTCCATCTCCAATTCTCATATAAGCCCCAAAACCCTAATTACAGTCGCACGCAGTGACAGATATTGCCATGAACAAAACTCCACCACCACTACCACCAAATCCAAACCAGGAATCAACTGAACCCCAGCTTTCAGAACCCTAACTGAGTTCTAACGAGAGATACAACTCCACTTGAATCACTCACTCCCCATATTCAACACCTCTCAGCCACTCTTCCTTTTCTTCTCTCTTCCAAAACCCTAGCCCAGAGACCCAACACTCTTCTCTCTTTCTTCAAATGGGCCCAGTCCCATTTACCTCCTCTCTCATAAAATCCCCACTCCCTCTTCTTTCTCTCCTCCCTTCACTCTTTCAATATCACAAGCACTCAGACGCCAAATCATTACTCGTTTCTTTCATCAACTCTGATCACAACATGTTCTTCATAGCTACATGTAACCCAGTAACTGGGACCCCAAGAAATATGGTATTAAGCTGTCGAAACCACTATTCGACACGTGTATTAGTGCTATGTTGAGTCTGGGAAGCCCCACTTGGCTGCTCAGATTTTCAATAAAATGAAGAGGTTGAATGTTCAGCCTAGATTGCTGACTTGCAAGTGCTTGTAAATGGATGGTAAGACACCCTTCTTCGCATTCGATTTTGCTTGCGAATAAAGTTTTTAAAGATATGACTTGTGTTCTTGGAGTTAAACCTAATACTAGTACTATTAATGTGTTAATATATGGAGTTTGCTTGGGAAATAAGTTTGTTGATGCATTTAAGTGGCTAACAAATGGAGGGTTTTGGTTGTTTACCTGATAATGTAACGTATAATACAATATTGGATGCTTTGTGTAAGAAAGGTAGGTTGAGTGAGGCTAGGGATCTGTTGTCAGATATGAAGAATAAGGGTTGTGCCCAATCGGAGCACATATAATATTTTGATAAGTGGGTATTGTAAGTTGGGGTGGCTGGGGACGCGGTGAAGGTGATAGAGTTGAGACATGAACAATTTGGTGCCGGAGTTCGGACGTATAATATGTTGATTAATGGGATGTGTAATGACGGAAAGTTGGAGGAGGCTTTTGGGTTGAGGAATGAAATGGAGAATTTGAAGTTGTGGCCTGATGTGGTACTTATAATACTAGATTAATGGATGTTTTGAATCAGGTGGTAGCTCAGAGGCATTTAAGTTGATTGATGAAATGGGTGAGAAGGAGTGAAGCCGAATGCAGTTATCATAATATTATAATTAAGTGGTATTTGAAAGAAGGCAGAATAGAAGAAGCGAGTAATACTATGGGGAAAATGGAAGAAAGTGGGTTTACACCAGACACTGTTACTTACAATACTTTGATAAATGGATATTGTAAAGCAGGGAAGATGGCTGAAGCTTTCAGAACAATGGATGAGATGGGTAGGAAAGGTTTGAAGATGAATAGAATTACACTTAATATCATTCTTCATACTCTTTGTGGGGAGAAGAAACTTGATGATGCATACAAATTGCTTAATAAAGCCTGCAAGAGGGGTTATTGTCTTGATGAGGTGAGCTATGGTACTCTTATCACAGGATATTTTAAGGACGGAAAGGTGGACCGAGCTTTGAAGCTTTGGGATGAGATGAAGGAGAAAAAGATTGTTCCTAGTATTGTTACCTATAACATTATAATTGCTGGGCTATGTCGTTCAGAAAAGACTGAGCAAGCCATTGACAAGATGAATGAGCTTCTTGAGAATGGTTTAATCCCGAATGAAACCACATATAATACAATTATTCATGGGTACTGCAGGAAGGGACAAGTTGAAAAAGCATTTCAGTTTCACAACAACATGGTTGAGAACTCGTTCAAACCTGATGTGTTTACCTGTAATATTCTTCTTGGAGGGCTTTGTAGAGAGGGTATGCTAGAAAAGGCTCTTAAACTCTTCAACACATGGATTTCAAAAGGGAGGACAATTGATGCAGTTACTTACAACACAATGATATCAAGTCTATGCAAGGAAGGGAGATTCAAGGATGCATTTGATCTTCTATCTGAAATGGAAGAAAAGAAATTAGGGCCTAATCATTATACATTTAACATCATTCATGGGGCACTAACTGATGCCGGAAGGCTTCAAGAAGCAGAGGATTTCAAGTCTAAAATGGTTGAAGAAGGTAAAGTAAAGGATCTGCGGCAGAGTGTGGTGACTACTGAAACTTCTGAGGGATTTGATTCAAGTTCCATTGCTTACTCAGAGCAGATCAATGAGCTCTGTTGTAAAGGGAAATACAAGGATGCAATGCACATTTTTGAGGAAACAACACAAAAGGGTATCACTATAAACAAATCGACCTACATGAAATTAATGGATGGACTAATCAAAAGGCGAAAAAGCATTTCAAAAACTGACCATAGCAGCTAATCTCTCTTGGGCGCTTCACAACAGCATCAAACGAGAGCAGTTTGACATAGATTCAGCTGCTATTGAACACAGAAGGTAAGTTTTTTTTTTCCAGGAGTTGTTTTATTCACTGAAGATCCTGCTAGCTTGCAATTCCCCCTTTGTGTTGTGGCATTTCATTGTGTTTATAATTTTTTGATATTTGGAATTAATTGATGGAGGTAGATGTGTTGTCTGAACGCTGGTACACCTTGTATAGTATGTGCCATAGATCGATATACTGACATAGCATTGTATTGTGTTTGTGTATACATATATTAAAAAGTTGAAAATAAGTTGCTGATATTAGTGAAGTGGGCAAGATAATGAATGTGTGCCTATAACTTATCTTACTGATTATATTTCATAGCAAGGAAATGAGAAACCAACAACATTAGATACTGCAAGTCTGTGGCTTGTGTCCATATCGTGTATTCTTACCCTTGTTTTCAAATCAAATTTGTATAAATTGTGCATTCTCCCACTGTAGAAGATAAATGAATTGGATTTTAAGAGATGCAATTGATAAGGTTAATTCCCTCAAATTTTGAGCAATATGCAAAGAAGCTAACGTAATTGAAGCTGGAACAAAATATGTATTGCTGCAAAGCCTTCGAAATGGGTAAGATTTTTCCTGTGGTAGTGATTCGACTGTTGGTTTGCTGGAAATCCTTCCAGTGAAGTTGGGTTGGTCGGGTTTGTACAGGGACCATAAGATAAGATCTGAAGATATTGAATTAACTCTCTCACGGTCCTTTTTCAGTTCTCTATGTCGTTTATACATCTGTAAATAAGAATGCATGTCGATTCTGCTGAGTTGATTCATTTGTGAATCGGTATATTAACTAAATTTATAATTTGCATTCATTTAAGAAGAATCAGAGTGGAGGTCTTCTTTTTATGTGATTGGTACTCACCATTAGTATACTGAAGAATTATCCAAGAAAATGCTGCACTAGTTTGGTATGCCATTTATGTGCCCATCTTCATTTGATTTAATTTTACTACTCTTGAATTTAACTTTGTGGTAAAATAAAAGCAGATTTGTGGGGTGCAATTTTTTACGTTGCTGCTCATCAACTGGTTTTTAGGGTGTGTTTGTTTTATCACTTTGGATATGATTTTTGAAAAAGTAAGAGTTGAGTGGTAACAGTTAAAAATTAACAAAAACACTCCCCTAAGTTTGTTAATTTACTAAACACTCTTACAATAAAACATTGAAAATTAACAAAAACATCATCATCCACCCATTACATGTCGACAGCTAGCCACCACCACTGAAGGGTGGTCAAAGTAGCCATATTGGCATAAGACTGATTAGATCTGACTAATCGTACGTTGATATGACTTTTTCTAACCAGATCTACTGTGGATATGATCGAAAAAGGTCAAATCTACGACCAGATTTGGCCACATTTGTCGTCAACGACGACCAAAGATATGAATCGTCGTTGATTTGGCCGTATTTGGTCGTAGATCTAACATTTTTTAGTCAGATCTACGATGGATCTAATTGCAAAAAGCTCAATCGACGCACTAATCGATCATATCCAACCGATAGTGTGCCATTATATTAGATTCCGACCACCTTCTAACAATGGTGACTAGAATCTGATAAATGTAGGTAGGTGGAGATGTTTTTACAATTTCTAAACTTTTTTTTGGAGGAGTGTTTTGTTAAATTAACAAACATAGAGGGTTTAAATTAATTAAATAAAATAGAATATATGTGTATTTTGGATGGGATAGTGCAAAAATACTTAAACAAGCACAACCTAACTATTACGACTCCATTCTCAAGTTGACTTGTTATAAAAACCATAAAAAGTAAAATGAAATGTAAGAATTTTAACAGGAATGTCTGTACTCCGTTGATAACTTCTTGTTTGACTAAAATGACTTAAATTAGCTTATTAAAGCATCTAAGACTGCTCACACTATAAAATGCTGAAACTATTTGCCACATTGGTCTATCTGTGCATGAACAAGCAGTAATACTGATGCGCCAATGGAACTCACACAAAGATAAAATTTAATTCAGTAGATGGATCTTTGGCTATGAAAGAAATGGAGAAGAAGCATCTAACTAGTAAACCCCCCAATTCATACATTTAAGAAACATAACTGGCGGTTGAGGGAATATACCAGAACTATGAGCATTACATGTAACCATGGCCATGGCAATAAAGCTTCTAAACGATCTGGATTGGAGGTAAGAAGATAATATTAATCTCCCAAGCAAAAGAAAAAGCTGGACAAAATTCACCACCTAAGCTCAGAATTTAACGGATGAGACAACAATAAAGCATATGTGATCAGTCCAAAAATAAAATACAATGAACAGAACTATTTTGAGTAAATTAGGGCACGCTCCACAAAGTCCTCAGCAATCATAAACCATATAAATCTAATCAGAACATTTCACACCTCATAAACTGTCTTTTTTTCAGTTTCATTTTTCTGTTTGATGGGGGATTATGGTCTTCATAAAGTTTGTTAGTATGTCGATATTCAACTTTAAATCAAGAGTAGGTTTTCCATCAAGTCTTCCCAGTTAGCTTCAGTTACCAACGATTCATACTAAGCAAAATTTACAGACTATTTTTACTTATTTCTTTCAATTAAGCACTGTGAGCCGCCAGTCTTCCTCTTGTTAACCATACAGCTTTCCATGCTTGTACGCCCAAGACTAGTAAAGGTACGAGAGGAAAATCTTGAACGAACGCACCCATCATGTTTGTGAACCCACAATGTAGCCAATGCTTGGCATAACTCAAGTAGACCGCAAAAGCATAGGCCCTTCACCAAAGTATTGACAGTGACCAACAACCACCATATACAAAGCAAAAGGCTCAAGCAGAAAATGATAGATATGCAATATGATTTGCAATGGAATCTTTAATCCTCAAGAACAGCATAGTTAATATATTACACTGACCGATTTCTAACGACATAACATCAGGAATCTGAGTTTAACTCAACAAAAGACAAATCCCGAGCGTAGAAATAGCGGATAACTAGATGAACTAAGAGTCTGGTTACCTTCTCTAGCGGCCAGTTTAATCAGCATATGCCATTTAGCATTGTTATCATCAGCACTGTTTCCGCCTATATCCTTTAGGGTCGGCTCTTTCCTAAAACATATTCATTAATTAATGAATAAAAAGTTCGACCAGTTAGTTAACAGTGAAGCCAAAAGATGAAAAGAGAAGAACTAAAGGTTGCAACATATAGCATTACAGCAACGGTTATTGGATCAACATCAATCTTAGTTAGGCCTCTAGCACATAAGTGGATCAAACCCTTTTAACAAACATCAACTTTCTCAAGTAACAATATTCAGCAATACATGAAGGAAATGTTTCAAGATGGTTTCAGAGACTAAACAAATAAAAGAAGCTCTCACTCACCTTAAAAGTTAATATATCAGACAAATGTCCCACCCAACTAATCCAAGGATCACTTTTCTAAGCTATAGAAAAGTAAAATAACATCAATTCCTACTACTACAATTTAGGGTCAGTAACATAGTCCTCCGATTTCTGCTGTCCTTAAGAACTGACACCAATACTACTTCATTTGACAGGAAACAAAAGTAAAAGAGTACATTAAATAGCTGACTACCTCTCTTTGACAGGGAGTATTTAAACATGTTCTAGTCATGCAAATTATGACCCAAAATTCAAGAACCACAACATAAACAGTAAGAAAATTTCAGTCCAAGGGCAAAAATATACCTGAAGTTCACATCAAAACTCAAATTGCACGTTTGGACATCACGTTGCATATTCCTCACCTAAGGTTGTGACAATGGGTGAAGTTTTAAATGGTACAGATACAATATAGCTGATCTGATAATTTACAACCATTGATCCAAAGATATTAAACTTGGCAGCACTACTGGAAGCAACTTCTGCATCAGAACATTTCCTAAAAACCACTCTGGCACGGCTAGTTTCCTCATCAATTTCTGTCTCAGATTCCTTCAATGGTCCAAAGCGCCTAAATATCTTATTCAGGTTTGTCTCTGAAGGAATGCAGTCTACCTCAGGGAAGTTCAATATAAGTTCTGCAGGTGAATTCTCATCGACATAGCCAGGCGGTTTTGGAGGGGCCAGATCCTGATTGGCAACAGAATGTTGCTTCCTAGAAGATAATCTACGACTCTTTTGAGCAGGTTTCCCCAGTTCAACAGGAACAATTTGATATCCTCTGCCATTTCTACTTGATGGTTGCTCTTCAGCACCATTTTGGATTACCCTGTCTGTCCAATAAGTGTCACTCATATCCTCAAATTCAAAAGTTTCTGGAGACCCAATAATCGAGTGAGAAGATTTTTTCCTTTTACCACCTGCTTTATCCACAGGCCGGCTTAAAATTATTGAATTCCTGAAATCAGAGAAGAAACCAGTAATAGTATTCAGAAAACTGTATCCTTTCATGGGATCTCGTGCTGCCAAATGAAGTTGAGATAGCAAATCATCTAGTGACGAATAATCTGCAGGAAGAATCCTTTTCTTTCCTTCTGCATCCTCAAAATTCTCAAATGAAACATCCGCTCCATCTCCATCAAATTTCTGCAACCTCTCACTATTACTCTTCAGGATAGATGGAGACCCGGTCATTTGGCTAGCAACTCTACGTATGCATTCACCTATTTTGAAGGATGGTTTAGGAACGTGAGATTGGGTGGCAGATACTTTTGCAAGGGAAATAGTTTTTCTCACATCTTGCAATGAGTCATCACCAGTAGAATCAACCACCTTCCGCCTCTTTCCAGAAGATGGTGAAACCACCTTGCTAGTACCGAATTCATCGTCATCTAGAGAATCAAATGAACCACTCATCAACTCAGACAAGCTTCTCTCCTTTCTAGGGTATATGCTATCCTTCAAATTGTGTTTACGCTTATGATATGAGCTTCTTTGAGTTCCAGAAATCTCCTGGCCAGAGTGAATAAGCTCATCATCCTTACTAAAAGTAGTTGCATCCATCTTGTCCTCAAAGTGAAAAGCATCCACACCGTTTTCTACCAAACCTCCACAAAATTGGAATTCAGGTAGCTGATAATACCCCTTTAAACGATAGAAGGACAACAACTGAGCCTTAGATACCACAAGCTCAAGTCGGTCAGCCCCAGAAGATGGAGACTGTGCTAATGCTGTCATATATTCAACTAATTTATCAGGTTGAAAAGATTGAACACCAGCAAATTCATTTACCCCATCTCTCACACTCGACTCTTGTCGGATTCCAGCATTCTCAACAATTTGCAATCTGATATCATCATAAGCATCCTTTGGTATGCAAGAGCAAGCTAGCTCCAACTCCACACGTCTGGAGACTTCTTCTAGAGTACAATTGACAGCATTCTGAAATACTTCTGCATTGCTCTGCTTCTCTACCTGGGAGAAATGTGAATAGAAGGGCTTTAGCTGAGATGCATCAACCCAAGCAAATGTTCGATCCCCAAAATATGCTACCAGAAAACAGTCCTTCTTATAATACTTCATCGCCTTCTCAGATGCATCAGAAGGATCAAAAATCTGTCCAGGCCACCATGGATGGCTCCTCACTTTACCCCAGACCAAATCAAACACATCAAACTCTCCTTTATCCTCTAGGGACAACTGATAACTAGCTTGATGGGATTTCACTAAGTTTCCAGCCTTCACAGTTGTCCGTTTAACAAATTTCTCCTCTGCTCCATGTATAGCACCCTGTTCACTATCTGGTTCTTCAACTTCCATTTCCTCTGCTCCATGCAAATCAACCTGCTCGGCATCAATAACTTGTTCTTCAACTTGCATTTCTTGCCCTGCAGTTGAATCAACTTCATAAAAATCAGCGGGCTCCAGACCTCCAACATTGGAATCCAGAACTTGTTTACTGTCCTTTGGAGCAACTTCACCCCCATTCATGACTTGGATATCCATTTCTGTACTTCCACAAACTACCTCGGCATTAAAGCTCTGCTCATTTCCTGAGCAGGATAGAGTAGCATCAACATCAGAAGAGCGCAGACGTGGAACTTCCACATTCGCATATTTTGGACTGTCATCCACAGTCATAGCCTCACCACTAACAACCTCAAGTGCTGTTTGTACTGTAGATGTTGAATCCAAACATGCATTTCTTTGATTTTCAGCGCTACCACCATCCGTCACAACCTCTGTCAGATGTTTTTGAATTAATATCTCTTTCCTTCCATCTGAATTATCTGGTTTGGCATCATTTAAAGCCTCCTTATTGTCCATGGAAGAAATTTTGTTCTCTCTGCCAGAGACTTGGGTATCTAATTCACTGCCCGTGCACAGTGTCTCATCCTTATTGTTCTGAATATTTCCAGAGCAAGATAACATCCCATCCAATTTAGCATTACCAACTTGTTTTTCAATTCCATTCATTTGTTCTATATTTGAACCAACAAGAGCAGTTCCCTGATCTAAATTCTCTTCCAGCTTCAACTGTTGGGCTTCCTCAAAATTAGGATGCACCTTTCTGGCCATTGCCACGTCTTCACCTCCAACCACCTGGGTTGGCTGAAAAGAGGATGTTGAATCTGCACAAACATTGCAGTGATTTTCAGTGCTTCCATCGGCTTTCTCCACATGTCCCTGCAGTTCTTCCAGTGAAAAACTTAAATTTTCATCGAAAGTATCAGTATCCATACCTTCCATGGTGGTACACATATATTCCCCTTGATCCGTCGCTGAAACTTCCCCCCTAACAGCAACTGGAACTTGTTCATCCAGGGAATTAGGGTTAGCATTAACAATAGCATCTTTTCCAGTTCCTCCATCATCTGTCTCGGCCATTGGAATTTGTTTTTCTTCTGAACTAGAAGAAATACCCTCTACAGCCGGGCTACTAGTAGTATTTTTTTGGGAATCCAAAGCCTCTTCACTAACCACCACTGCATCCTCCTCAACAACCTGGGCAGGTGCACTGGACTCTTCCAAGATTGCAGCAAAACCTGCATCTGCAGTTTCAATACCAGGATTCCATATTTCATCATCCAAAACCCCCAATCTCTGCGTCTCCACAACTTGATGTGCATCATCTCTAGCACCGTTCGATTCACTATCTTGCCTAGCATTCTTATCCAATTCTTTTCCTAAATAATTTTTATTCTCTGTAACAACTTCCACCACAACTTGTGTTTCTCTCTCCAAAGTACCAGACACCACTGCAGAAGATTCTACCCCGTTTTCGGCTCCTTTGCCCTGTGCTTCACTTCCTGCAGTACCAACCATTCCACTACCTCTCTCAACATTATCCCCAAGAAGTCCTCTCTCCAGGTCCTCTTCCCCAGCACCCGCCACTGTCTCCTCCATGTGAGGGATTTGGGTTTCTCCACCTGTTAAACTCATAATTGCCTTAAACTCTTCAACCCCAGTTCCAATTCCCAAATTTTGAACCTCATGATTCACAGAATCAACTTTTCTTGAAGGTTTTTCATCAGCTACATCACCCTCAGCCTCACCTCCAACCACCTCCTTATTTTTCTCCACGCTCTCCTCCGCAACAGGCCCTTCAACCTCCGTCTCCAATCTGTCATTTGATGATGCTTCACCAACAGAAACCCCAATTCCCCTTGTACCCAAATCACCAGCTACATCATCCCCACCACCTGGACTTGTCAAATCTCTCTC